CCAGTACAAATGAGGTCCAGATCCTTGGCTAGTGCCAGGTGTTACTGATATATATATTATATATCATATATATATATATATATATATATTATATATATATATATATAATATACTATATTTATATACACACACACTGAGTTTACTGGAGAGAGTTTCTGGGGTCAAACGGCCCCCGCGGGCCCGGTTTGTGACCAGGCCTCCTGGAGGATCAGAGCCTGATCAAGCAGGCTGTTACTGCTGGCTGCCATGCAATCCAAAGTACGAGCCACAGCCTGGGCTGGTCAGGTCCACTTAGGTGTTTGTCGTGCTGCTTGAGACAGCCAGGGGGTCTATTGGTAATCCCCTTATGTATATGCTGGGAGGCAGTTGTAACCGTCTCGGGCCCTGACCACTCTTGTATTGTCTCTTAACGTGCTTGTGACACCCCTTGCTTTTCATAGGGGGATGTTGCAATCGTCTGCTATGGAGAGATAAGTCTTTTGCTTTTCAGAGGAGAGTGATTTCGTGTGTAAGTTGGTATAGTCTCATCTAGGATTTTCCAGGTGTATTTATCTAATGTATCTCCCGCCCATTGCGTTTCCAGGAGGAGCGCAGATCAGGAACTTCAAGCGCACCCAGTAATTGAGGTGTTTTATTCCGTTATGTGCGCCGTGAAGGTTTCCATACATTTTCTAGTCGGCAAAATTTCACCTGCCTTGAAAGGTGCTGTTAGTGTGCAGCAATTATTCCAGCCTAGATTAGAACAGCGACCTGAAGAGTGTCATCATGGCTTGGATCCATAAATTTTTAATGGTTCTTATTATCCATCCTGTCACTTTTCTAGCATGATGCGATGATACAATGTTAGGTCCTTCAGGTGAGATCTCGACAAGATCACTCCCAAGTCTTGACTTAGTTTTTCACTCTATTGTGTGGCTGGAATTTGTTTTATACTTGATGAAGGTTTTAAATTTCCTCATGTGTACCATACCAACTATATTATATATATATATATATTATATCTATATATATATATATATATATATCTATATTTATTATTTATATATATATTATATATATATATATGCAAAAAAAACAGTGACTGTGAAATAGTAGGAAAATACAAGTGCTTTCGTGACTTCTCACATTATCAAGTAACTATTTAACAAGTAATACATCAAAGGAAGCATATAAAGGGTCGAGACCACATGTCGCCATCACATCCCACTAAAAGCAACGCCTGACGTGCGACGAGACCGACTCATAAGAAAAGGGGAAACACTGCAGCAGGGCCCTCTGGCTCACTATACAGTCCTTACGACAACTCCCCCTCCACCCCACTTCCGCACCCAATAACTACCCAAGAATTTAAGATTATTTGTCAGTGTATTATTAAAATTCTTCCAAATTTTATTAATTATAAATGATCTAATTAATATAATCCAAGGAAATTTGGTATTTTCAAAACTGCTTTTTATGAAACAAAAATTCAATTATATTTCTGTGACCCATGGACTTGCTTGATACAAACTTTCTCAACTTTTTGAAAATCAATTGGATGTTAAAATTTTCTCACATGAATAATAGAGCATTGGAATCTTGATCAGTTCTAATGCTATATTATATGTGTTTTAATCTTAGTCGAGACTTTCACCAGTTTGACCATAAACTTTATTGCAAATTTTACAAGGAATCTTATAGACACATCTGTCAGCATTTTGGGGAATTCTTTATAAAAAGTTTTTTTTTACTGTTATCAAGATTTTTAATACAACTTGATATTAAGTCTTAAGAAGAGAGGCATATCAACCAAGTTTCATGTGGTAACGGGAGAACCAACTATTTTTAGTTGAATAAAGGCTGGGTGTCCCTTTTTTGGATTGTAAAAAAGTATTTCTAGCCATTTTAAAAGATTTATCAATTACGTTTCTTGGGTATTTTAGATCATAAGCTATTTTCATAAATTTTGGATATTTCTTATCTATGAACTCTGGACTACAAATACGTAAAGCTCTCAAAACATTGATGAGAGAACAGACAGTTTAACTCTATCTTGATGTGAAGAAACAATAGGAACATTGGAACAGTTATTTGTAGGTTTTCTGTAATTTTTAATTTGAATCATTATTACTCTAATAATTAAAACATTAGAAAGGCAATGAGTTATTTTATAGATTGGGCTAAGCCTATTTATTTGCAAGGAAATGGTGTATATCTAATTCTGGGCATAAAGACATAAAATATCATCACATATCTGAACCATTTAGCTCTATTAGGGAGGATTGTGTTAAGCAACCTTGTTTCAAAAAACTCATGTTATAGGTTACTGAGAGAGGTGAAGAGGATTTCCCATTGCATACAAACTTCGAGTGTAAAACTTATTAAATACAAGTTTTGCATCAACAATGCAAAGTTTAATAAGTTTAATGATGTAGGAACTGGGGCAATGGTAAATCATAATTAACGATTTCTTCAGTAAGAAACTTAATAAATCTATCAAACAGGAACTTTCGTAAACAAGGACAGTAACACCAAAACTAACCATGTTAAAATCTTTAAGTCAGTCAAGGAGTTAATTTATCAACCAAGTCTATGTTGTTTTTAACATTAAAGTTAGAAATTTTGCCAACAAGAGGCTTCAAAATATCAACAAGCATTTTGGATAATTTATATGAAACTGACCCTATGGGAAGTAATAATTGGTCTGACTGGATTCCTGGTTTGTGTGTTTTATTAGTCCATACATGTAGGTAAAGATGGATTAGTGGAAGTTAAATTGTCTTGATAATTCATCTTTGCTTTCAGTAGAAGTTTTATTGTTTTATTGAAATTGCTGTTTACCGGTTCTCTACTTGGAGTTTACCTGGAGAGAGTTCCAGGGGTCATGCCCCCGGGCCCAGTCTGTGACCAGGCCTCATGGTGGATAAGAGCCTGATAACCAGGCTGTTACTGCTGGCTGATGCAATCCAACGTACGAGCTACAGCCTGGCTGGTCAGGTACCGACTTTAAGTGCTTGTTCCAGTGCAGCTTGAAGGGACTGCCAGGGTCTTTTGGTATCCCTTATGTATGCTGGGAAGGGCAGTTGAGCAGTCTTGGGCCACTTACGCTGTTATTGTCCTTGTGGCTTAGCGCTTCTTTTTTTATTACAATAATACTATTGGCCCCTGACACTTACTGTATTGTTCTTAACGTGCTAGTGAACCCTGCTTTTCATTGGGGGGAATGTTTTGCATCGTTTGCCGAGTTTCTTTTGCTTGTCAGAGAGAGTGATTTTCGTGTGCAAGTTTGGTACTAGTTCCTCTATATTTCCAGGTGTATATAATCATGTATCTCTCTCGCCTGCGTCCAGTGGGAATACAGGTTCAGGAACTTCAAAGGCTCCCCAGTAATTGAGGTGTTTTATCTCCGTTTTATGGCGCGCCGTGAAGGTTTTCTCTGTACATTTTCTAAGTCAGGCAATTTCGTTGGCCTTGAAAGGCGCTTTTAGAGTGCAGCAATATTCCAGACCTAGATAGGAATAAGCGACCTGAAGAGTATCTCATTGGGCTTGGCATCCCTAGTTTTGAAAAAGTTCTCATTATCCCAGCCTGCCATTATTCTAGCAGATGCGATTGAGAGCTCCGACATGATCACTCCCAGGGATTCTTTCTAGCTTAGAATAGGTTTCAGTATCATCTAAGAGATTATTAAATTTTTTCTTGGTATAATCAAGAATATATTTATATATATATATATATATATATATATATATATATATAATATATATATTTATATATATATATATGTCGTGCCGAATATGTAAAATCTGAGTCAATTAGTAAAGAACCATTTAAAATTAAGTCTTTCTAAAATTTTCTCTTTTACGTTTAAAGATATATTTTTTTCATTAAATGCTAATGTAAAAATTATAATTTTGCACCAAAAAGGAACTAAAAAACTTACCTAACTTATTATAACACAAGACCATTTATTTTAGCCTAACCCAACAAAATATATTTTAAATTACGTTTACATAATTTAGTACTTAACAGACATAATCAAATATTTTTTTTCGTTTAGGTTCAGATGATTTTGGCGATATTATTGCATACACAAATTTTCACTTGTCTTACATGCAAGATGAGCGTTGCTATTTAAGCAAGATCGCAAGTTCTGCCTATTCGCCACGGACTTATTATATATATATATATATACTATATATATATATATATATATATATATATATATTATTATATATATATATATATTATAATTTCTGGTGGTTAGTGTCAGTGTTGAGAGGTGTAGTGGTCTAAAAATCAGTGTTATGTGTTGGTAGTTGTGTAGTGTTATTGATGGGAGTGTCATGTTGAGTGGTGGTAGTAGTTGGTAGAACCAGTGTTTTATGTTGTTGGTAGTTGTGGTAATGCATTGGTGGTACTATCGTGTTGAGTTTGGGTAGTGTCAGTGGTGGGGATAGTGTCAGGGTAATCATCATCAGTAGCTGGGAGAGACTAGTTGCGGTGTCATCCTCACCTGGGTTGAAGTTGCGCCAGTACAGCACCCTCTCGTCATCGGCAATGTTACACAGTGGTGAGAGTGGGCAGTGGCAGGCACAGTGTTGTACCACCAGCTCCACCACGATGTACGCACAGTTCCCTGTGGAGTGTAAGAACTCAGATAATTATTATTATTAATATTATTATGATTTTATTACAATAAAAATTAAAGAAAAATGAAAATAAAAAGAATAATTCATAATAATAATAACCATACAACAAACAGCAGCCAAGCAACATTATACACATACAAGTTACTTTGTTTGTAAACCCTTAAAGGATCACAATGTAAAATAAGATATCTGACTTTTTTGGGTTATCCCAGGTTCTCTACACATATGCTGCTATGTATGATAATTCTATGTAACTGTAATTTGTGTGTACCGAATAAACTTGATATTCATCATCTTACCATCTGACCTCGTCATTGTCACGGTCCAATGTGGTTGAAACGCCTGCCGTTTATGTCAATCGCAAGTGCATCACAAGGTGTATTGGTGCTGGTGTGGTGTAGCTCCCACTGTGAGTTTATACCTGAGGGAGAGATGATTGTTGGATTATCACCACACCTGACATGTGGTAAACAACGCTTAGCTGGAGAGGAGAGATGATTGTTGATATCACCAAACTGAACATGTGGTGACACACTTGCTAGCTGAAGGGAGAGAAGAGATAATTGTTGATTAGCACCACACTGAACATGTGGTGACAACTGGCTAGCGAGGGAGAGATAATTGTTGATTATCACAAACACTGAACATGTTGGTGACAAACTGCTAGCTGAGGGAGAGATAATTGTTGATTATCACCAAACACTGAACTTGTGGTGACAACTGTTATAGATGAGGGAGAGATAATTGTTGATTATCACCAACACTGAACATTTATACTGAACAAGGTCATCACATTAATATATTGTATCAGAAAAATTATGATGAAAAACAATGTATAAAGTCATTATAGTGCACAACAAATCAGATCACTTTCATATATTTGATAAAATTATATTTCCAGTTATGAAGTATAATGTTTCAGGTCTTTAAAATGTATAATGTTTCTGGTCATTTATTTGTAAAAAGATGTCATAGTCATGTGATAATGTATCAAGTCTCATTGCCTATAACGCAACAATTTTATTATATTGTGTATATGTGATTGTGTTTATAATGTATTAAGTGGTTACCAATGAATGTATTCAAGGTGAGTGTCATTGTAAGTAACACCAGGACAGTCACTCACTGGTGTTGACTGGACCTCACAAAGTGTCTTTGTAGGAACAAGTCAGTCTTTTTCTCACTGATGATGACTGGACCTCACAAGTGTCATTGTAGTAACACCAGTACAGTCCCTCACTGATGATGACTGACCTCACAAAGTGTACATTGTAGTAACACCAGTACAGTCTCTCACTGATGATGACTGACCTCACAAGTGTTCATTGTAGTAACACCAAGTACAGTCTCTCATGATGATGACTGACTCACAAAGTGGTCATTGTAGTAAACACCGTCAGTCTCTCACTGATGATGACTGACACTCACAAAGTGTCATTGTAGCACACCAGAACAGTAGTGGTATTGACATTTTGGTCTAGCTGCACTCTTCAGGCATTGTTCTATAATGTAAGATTTATGCCAAATATGAAGTTGATTAGTTGAGGTTTACTACAGCATTTGTGATTGTATATTTGGACTGTTGTATTACTGAGCAGAAGCAGAGTACAGTGTTTAATGTCCTGTATTTTTATGTTACTCTACAGTATTGATAACATTAACTAAAACTTTCTCTCTTTTCAGATATTTTCTGGTTATCTTATATAATTTTACTTACTGAGATGGCTACAATGTCAACGAGAAGAAAAGCCCATTAATATACATTGTTTGGCCTGTGTTCTTCCATTGACAAGCTTCCATCCAAAAGTCGATAGTTAAGGAACTGCTGGGTGATGTAAGTGTGATGAGGAAAGCTGATTGATGTTACGTGATTATCAAGACAACAGCTTAGGATTTTCTGAACATGGCAGAAATCAGTTGGAGACAGAAATATATTCCTGTTCTCAGCAGAAAACTATTAAGGAAAAATTTAGAAAATTGTTACAGTAGTTGGAAATAGAACTTAATGAGAACAAAAATGTCTTCAAAAAAGCTACATATCAGGATATGAAATAAAACGATGTTGTTTGATATTTTAGTTGTTTCTGTTTTGCTGCTCCTTGCTCTGATTGTAGGTTGCAAAATAAGGAGTGTGCCATTTACCACCTGGCCTATAATTGTGTTATTAAAGTTCATGTAACACGTGAGGTACAGATTCCTCCTTGACTGAGAGGCGATAAGGAGGTGAACATTTTCTGTTGTTGAGTTGACAGTTAATGGGATGTGGGGAAAAGCGTGACGGTAAATGAGGAGCAGGATGAGCCAGAGCCAGGTAAGCCAGCTGGAGGAAAAGTCAGAGTGAGCGGGAGAAGTTTTCTGATTCTGACGATAATTTCAAATGATGCAGAGATAGCCCTTCTGTTGTACTGATGCTGACTCTGTCTTGAATGGTCTGACTGCCAGCAACTCACAGCCAGAAACAGAACTTAGACTCCCCACACTGGCAGTACATGTGACCGATTACTTGATCATTGATTTGCTGAAGCTGTCATGCTACCGCTACCTTAATGAAATCTGAATTATCACAAGGACGACAAAAGTCAAGTTATTATTGCTGATGTGTTGACGAGGATTGGTTAATCTACACTGGTTGTGGGATGACAGTGTAGATGAGAAAGGACAATGTTTGGCTCCTATATGTCAATCAGAAATAACAGTATTCCAAAAACTAAAGTGGCAAGCAAAGAACTATCGTTCAAGACTGACTGGAAGACTGAACTCAAAACTGAGCCTTCTTGCATTGTTTCTCTTTCAGATCAACAGGTTCTGAAAATTACTGAGACTCCACTGGAGGTACCTAAGTGGCCAAACAACACTCAAGCTGTCGAGGGATAAAACTGATAAGATAAGATAAGATTTCGTTCGGATTTTTAACCCCGGAGGATTAGCCACCCAGGATAACCCAAGAAAGTCAGTGCGTCATCGAGGACTGTCTAACTTATTTCCATTGTGGTCCTTAATCTTGTCCCCCAGGATGCGACCCACACCAGTCGACTAACACCCAGGTACCTATTTGCTGCTAGGTGAACAGGACAACAGGTGTAAGGAAACGTGTCGAAATGTTTCCACCCGCCGGGAATCGAAACCCGGGTCCCTCCAGTGTGATGAAGCGGAGCTTTAGCCACCAGGCCACCATGACTGAAGCATGCCATGACTAATGGACAGAAGGCAAGAGATGGTTATTTCGACAGAATATTTTCAGGAAGTGTTGCCAAGTTCATGCACCAAGAAAGACTTCACTTTAACTTGTAATAGCTTCTTAAAATTAAGTATTTGATGATTGAATAGAACCCATGTACAATTGATTATACAATTTCTCAACCAAAAATGATATAAACCATTTCACTTGATTATTATCCTGACAACAATAAAGTGTATTAACTGCTTTCTATGGTGTTTAATTATGGCAAAAAATTGATCGCCCCCTAGCTGGCAGGTAAATGGGCATGAAATGGTAAGAAATTTTGCACAAACTTTTGCTGTGCCATAAAATAGCCCTGAAAAAGTGCAGCTTGCATCTTTAAAATTGTATTTGTTCAGTGCTCCCTAACAAGGACAGTCTCTCACTAATGTTGACTGACCTCACAAAGTGTCATTGTAGCAAACACCAGTACAGTCTCTCATGATGGTGACTGACTCACAAAGTGTCATTGTAGTAACACCAGTAGTCAGTCCTCTCACTGATGATGATGACCTCACAAAGAAGAAAACACTTTCACTGTCACTCAGTCAATATCTGTTTTACATGGACGCCACTGACATCAATCAAGCGAGATTCTGATGACTGGTCCCACAACCATGGCCAGATAACTGGTTTCACAACCAGTTTCCACATGACTGGTCCCACAGCCAACTCCAACATGACTGGTAGTCCTTCAACATGACCAGATGGGACTGGTCCCACAGCCAGTACTAAGATACTGGTTCGCATCCAGGATACGATGACTGGTCCCACAACCAAGACCCTGATGAGTGGTCCCACAACCAGTACTCCAAAGACTGGTAAGAAGAATGGTTGACTCGAGAGGTTATCTAACCTCTCAATGGAATCATTGTTTCTTTACTAGTGGAGGTACTCCTCACTTTTGACAGTGTATAAGGCTCCTATACTGTCGCTTTGTCAATTTAAATTGTTTCAGACTAGGGGACTGACCACCTCAAAAAACTACGTCTTCATGATGTGATGGACTGATTACATCGGTCTTTACATCTTTTACTGTTTCTGTAACTTTTCTGTACTTGGGACTGAATAAGCCTTACTGTGTGGCTGAAACGTTATCGGAATAAAAAACCTAACTGTTGCACATGCGTCTTCCTTTACAAACATCCGTCAGTGACTGTCACTGACGTAGTGACTATTGTACATCAGTGACTGTCATGACTGTAGTGAGACTATTGTCATCCCCCCCCCCCCCCCCCCCGTGCTCCCCCTGACTGTGGTGGACTCCGTGACTGTCACTGACTGTAGTGAACTCAGTGACTGTAACTGACTGTAGTGAACTCCAGTGACTGTCACTGACTGTAGTGAGCTCCAGTGACTGTCACTGACTGTAGTGAGCTTCCAGATAAACTGACAGATACATTAAAATTTAACCATTTTCCTTCTTAAGAATGTTACTTCACTTAATTTTCCCTGTCTCAGTAGTCTGGTCATTAATGTCAAGAAAAATATATTCAGGTGATTCCAAGACAGTGTCAAAGATAAAACATGATTATTATTATTATAATCAAAAAGAAGCGCTAAGTCACAAGGACTATACAGCGCTGCAGGGCAGGAAGGAAGTGAGGGCATCAGGTGGCAAAAGGGAGATGGATGAGCAACAGGTTACGGATAACAGCGGGGCAGTGGATGGTGAAAGCGTAAAAGGGCAGGCAAGGACTGAACCAGAAGGGCTGAGGGGACGTGCGCGGAAAAAAGTATCATCAGAGTTTGTGGAGTAAATCGGTCGTTGTCAAGAATTGCCATACTCGTCTACTCATGGATATCTCATGGAGAGGCGCCCTGCTCCTCTCTCCGAGAATTGCTAGCCTCCCATTATCAGTCAGCATTTCCTGTTGGATTGCCCACTTTATCAACGAGCCTTGCAGAATTTACCGCATCGTCGTCTTAGCTCCGCTGTCTCTCTTTACCTTCCCTTTCGTGTGGACCACCTTTCATCCGGACTTCTCATGACTTTTTGACAACAAACTGACTGACTTCCAAATTCTGATACTCTTCAGCCCTTTCTACTTCAATCTCCTTGCTACCCTCTACCCCCGTACTATCCCAGCCCTGCTGTTTTCTGTAACCTACTGGATCATCCCTTCCTCCCTTCTGCATTCCAATACCCTCGCTTCATAAGAACATAAGAAAGGAGGAAACATGCAGAGGCATGTTGGCCC